AAAATGTATGCAATTAAAAAAAAAATAATTCAACAAATTTTCGTTAAAATTTCGAGTTTATTAATTAAATTCTGAGTATGCAGTTTTGTGGCGCATTTAATTCTAGTAGAGTAAAGTACGAGTTTAAACGACTAAAAATTTCGATTGATTTTTTAGAATTTTTACAAGGTTCGAAATTTGCACGAAGATTTGTTGATTTTTTTTTTTTTTTTAATATTGCACAAATTTGGAAACTTGGATTTACACGGGTTTTGTTAAAGAAGGAACTATATTTTTATAAAAAATTTACAAAAGTTCAATAACGACAAAAATAATACGTTAAAACTTGGCAAAAAGTAATTCGGCTATAATTTTTTGACCACTGCACATTAGGTCAAATGATTACTTTTTCTGTGCGAAATTAAAAGCAGGTAAAATATTGCACTATTTAAATAAAAAATTATGCCAACCATTAAAAAAAATTGTAAAGTCAGTAAATAAAATATGAAAACATGACTTAGCTTTCATAAGACAGACTTTGTCGCGCAATGTTTTTTATGTACAAATGATGAGTATATGTGTTTAAGTAGTACTTGAAAACATTGTCCAATTAGCCGTTTTTGTTGTTCTGCGAGATGAGCAAAATAAATAAAAGCTTGTAAGATTAGGGTTAGTGTAGAGGCAGTGCAGGTAAACGTAATACTTTTTATGGTAATTGATAATCCATAGTTGCGGGAGCGGGGGTCAGAACATCTACAACCACCAAGTGAATGTCCTGCATTAGGGAGAAGTCGATAAATGATGTAACTGCAGCGGCAACTGTACTGTTTCAAAGAAGAGTAGGAGCTTCAAGATATAGTTGTTATCACAAACGGCCCAACTGTGTGCCTATGTAAATGGGTGTACCGGTTATTATATCACCAGCCACTTAACCTTACCTAACCTATAGTATATTACGGCTATTAAAAAAACTAACATGCGCTTGCATGTAAATATACATACATATATACATATATCAGGTTTAAGCTACAAATATCAAAATTCTTCTTGTCGAATAGCACCTTCCGATAAACTCAAATTCCGTCTTATAGTTAGGTACTCGATGAGATAAGAAAGAAAGATTGTCCATTTATCTGTCAGTTACCTTCACAAGTACAAAGTGTCACAACGTAACATGACTATTATTAATAATTTTTTGTTGTGGAATTTATGACATTATGATATCTTATGAATTATCTAAACCTAAGCAAAGCTTCACCAATAGCATTCTGCCAGTTATAAATCTTACATATCGCAGTAGTGCTTTTTTATAGCCCAGCACATTCGACTACATAGTTAAAACTAATCATCACACAAATAAATCTCAAAAGCAAAAGAAAGCAACCGAGCGGAAGTAAATATAATAAACACACCGTACTCCGCGCCATTTTATTTATTTGCCATAACCAGTTTCGAGCCAACTTTCTTCACCACCAGCTTAAGCTGTCGCCGCTAATGACACATTTAATTACCCACCAAGTTAATGATCTGCTGACGCGCATACTTTTACAGCGCATTTCACGCGCTACTCCGCCGCCGTCAATACGCAGCCGCTACTAAACGCCACTACTGTTGATAATAATGTTGTTGAAGGCGTTATTTATGGCCGTTTTCATGCGTTTGAATTCACTTTTTTTTTTTGCTCATTTTATTTATTTTCTTACTCTTCCATCTAACGAAATCATCACCATTTCATAATGGCATGTCTGCGGTTCATAAAATTCATTATATTAGCTATAAGAATTCATTTCATTTCAATTTTGCTTCGTCATGGGCTTGAAGCTAACTGCATTGTAGATATGTATACACCCCGTGTCATACGCACCACAAATTGACGAGTTTTAACAATTTCCTTTTTATTATTTAATTTTAGTTTTTTTTTTAATATAGTTTATTCCTTAATAAAGATCGACTAAATCGGAGTTTCAATATTAAAAAAAGAAATCAACAAACTTTCGCAAAAATATCGATCTTTCTAATTAGAATTTTTAAAAAAAAAATTTGGGTATACAATTTCGTAGCCCATTCAATTTTAGTACAATAAAGTTTGAAGTAGCTAGGACTTACCGTTGATTTTTGATTTTTTTTGTCTCTTGACAGTGTTAGTAATTTTCTTCCATAGGAAGTGTGTTCGATGAGGAAATGCGCAACACCTTCAACAAACAAAAAAAAAATGCCAAAAATCAACAGTAAGTCCTAAGTATTTCAAACTTGCACTTTATTGTACTAAAATTGAATGAGTTATAAAGCTGTATACCAAAAATTTCCCCAAGAATTTTAATTAAAAATCTCGAAATTTTCACGAAGGTTTGTTGATTTTTTTTTTTAATATGGCATATAGTTTGAGACTTGGATTTATTTGGTCTTTGTTAAAAAATAAACTATTTTTTTATAAAAAAAATAACTTGTATTAAATAACAAGAAAATAAATTGTTAAAACCTGTTCAATATGTGGTGCTCTAACCGCCAAAATAACGTAAGCGACATTTTTTTCAAAATTTTATTTTTCATGCAGAACTATTCCTTGAGCAGCTAGATGCAATTCTGCATCAAAAAGAAAATTTTGAAAAAAATGTCGTTTACGTTATTTTGGCGGTTAGGGCTCGATGTGATGCGCTTATAGTTATGATAAAACGAAGTGCAAATTTAAGTAGCTAGAACTTAACATTAATTTTTGGTAAATTTTTTTTTTTTTGTGGAAGGTATTGCCCATTTTCCCCATACACAAAAATTGTCGAACATACTTTGTTTGGAAGAAAATGTGCGAACAAAAAATTGCCAAAAATCAACGGAAATTTCAAGCAACTTCGAACTTGCACTTTGTTATACTAAAACCTAATGGGCTACAATACTGTATGCTCAAAATATTCTAAACATTTTAATGAAAAGTTTAGAATTTTGATCAACGTTTGTCAAAATTCGTCAAGTTTTTGTAAATGTTCTACAAAGTTGGAAATCTTGATTTTAATGTTTTTTTTACATAGTAAGCTATACATACATATTTTCATAAAAAAGTAATCAACATTTTTTAAACCAAGAAAAGTAACCAATACTTGCTGAAATGTCTTTTCCCTATTCACATTCTCGCCACCGTATATATTTTGTGAATACATTTTTGAGGCGACTTTTCAACTTTTTTTCTCTTTGCTTTGTCTTAAATAAAACTATATCAAAAGATGTTATGTCTTTTTATTCTAAAAAACAAAATTGTATATTCGGATTTGATGCTTTAGAAATGTCCCGTTTTTGGTCCTCTGAAATCTGGTCACCACTTTAGAAAAACTTTCAAATTAATTTATCGATCGGTTGATTTCAGGGACATAACCGTTATGAGTTTTATCGGAAAAATGTTGTTCCATAACAGTTATTAGATGAGAAATATTTTGTATTTCTCCGATAAGAGTTATAACCCAACTTTTACTTTTTACGTTGCCTGATAACGTTTATTTCTTACGTTGTCTAATAACAGTTATTTCACTTCTTCACTTTTATTTTCATCATCTTTATCTTCTTCTCCATCTCCATTTTCGTCGTTATTCTTATCTTATAACGTTTATGACACAACGTAAATAATAAACGTTGGACAATTACTGTTATCAAACAACGTAAAAAATAAACGTTGGACAATAAAATTAACGTTGGACAATTACTGTTATCAAACAACTCTTCTTGGCGAAATACGAAATATTTTTCATCTAATAACTGTTATGAAACAACGTTTTCGTTAAATTTCAGAATTCGGGCAACGTTTTCAATTTGTAAATTCGAGATAACAGTTATTTTTGGTCCCTTGGTAATTTGGTTATCGATCATATCCTACTTGTCATTTTTCGTTTGCATATTTTAATTTTGTATTAAATCCTTAACAGTTCATAAAAGAGAAGGGAGTTCTCAAAGAAGTCCAATGTGGCAAAGCTTAATGTTTGCATTTGAAGAAATGTCAAAAATATGCCTTTTAACTAAAAGGAAGTAGTAAAGACATTACCTTCTTTTTGTTTCGAAGTTTTTTTGAAGTCGAATTCATATAAGGTAGTGTTGCCAGAACAGCTGATTTTATTCGCCTCGATACACATTTGTCAAAATTTCTTATGAGTGAGCGAGAAAGTGAGAGTGTTGGAATTTTCTTTCCCTCTTCTACCTTGAGCAAAAATAGCTGAAATTAAACACTTTTTGTACCAAAAGCAAAAAGAAAGTGCATGTAAGTTTTTGTTTTTGTACTACCGCTACAACCTTATATGAATTCGCCTTCATTTATTTACTTATATTTGATTTTATTTTGTCTACTAAAATTCCAACTTTTTGCTGTAAATTATTAAAGACATGGATATGGATTCACTTACGTAATACATAAACACATAACTTACACTTAACTTAGTTTCGCAATGTAAGACAATATTTTTGCTAAACAGCCTCCATTTTTATGCTTAATCCTAATAAAGCACTGACTATTAATTATGATTTCACGCCGATGAACTAAAATGACTACATTTGTGATAAGACTAAAAAAAAATATATTTTCGCCTGTTTTGAATATTTATTTACTCGTACATTGAGCATATTTATTTGGCCTCGGATGAATCATGAATATTTTTTGCGTCTTATATTAACTTGTATAAATTTAGTTGAGTATACTTATGTATGTGAAAATGCATAAATACATATATTCGAAATCATTGCCTTAATACCACTCAGCTACGTCCGAAATGCTTAACATTTGTGGCCACATTGCTTTAGTAATCAATACAACTTGTCCTGTCATTTATCATTTGGCCAATTGTAGCAAATTTTTTTATTAGAACTAAGCAGAGCACATATGTACATACGTACTTAGGTACATAGTTTTTTCATGTAAATAGCTTTTACGTTGAATGTGTGATGGTTTAAACGCGTGCATCTAGTCCTATGGATGTGAAAACAATACATATATATTTTTGTCACTATTTTTATGTTCTCAGTTCACATTACTTTTTTTTCCAAAATATATGCTTCAAATCATTTACTATTTTTCTCTTTCTCTCTCTCTCTCGCTTCCCTCTCTTTTCTTAGGCAGCACATCGAATCCCGATGCTAAGCGCCTCTACGACGATCTCCTCAGCAACTATAACAAATTGGTGCGTCCCGTTGTCAATGTGACTGACGCCGTAACTGTACGCATCAAATTGAAGCTATCACAATTGATTGATGTCAATTTAAAAAATCAAATCATGACAACCAATTTGTGGGTGGAACAAACCTGGTACGATTACAAACTCCAATGGGAGCCGAAAGAGTATGGCGGTGTTGAAATGTTGCATGTGCCCTCCGATCATATATGGCGGCCGGATATTGTGTTGTATAATAAGTAAGTAGTTTGAGTTAACAAGGCAAACAAAAAAAAAAAAACTACAATACCAATAACAAAAAAACGCAATAAAAGCCTAGCATGTGTGCTTGTCTACTTGCTTGTGTATGCGTGTGTGTGTATATTACGTGTGTGTGTCCAATGAAATATCACCGCATCAAATACTCATATATCACAATCATCAGCCGCATCAGCAATTGTAAAGCTTTGATGAGAAAAAACATTAGTCATGTCTGTATGTATGTAGAAAGACACTAGTGTGCAGTGCTTTATATTTACTCCTTAACAGAAGTAGTATTGCCTTGGTAATTCCAAACTAGTCCGAGATGATCTAGTTTTAAACTGGTGTCCAGTGAATTTAAAAATCAAGTACCTGAACATTTACGAACTACAAAAACTAGCAATATTCCAAAAATTACAACTAAGCGCACTAGTCCATAACAAACAGTGATGAGCAAAATTTTATTTAGTTTTTGGAAAATGTGTATAGAGTACGACCGTATATGTGGCGTTCCACACTAAAATGGACGGGGTTCACACTTCATGTGTTTGATTTGTTTCAAATTTTTAGGATTGATGGACAAACATAAATTATAAATAAATATCAAATTTGAGCTTGATTAATACATTTTTAAAAACTTTACAGTACAAAAACAAAAACAAATCGATTTAATAGTTTCCCAAATATCTCGAGAACGGGCCGAGGAAAAAATTAAAAAAATCACACATCAAAATTCTCTACGAAAAGAAATATTTAATTTTTTTTCTTGAAAAATTTTTCGCATACAATTTTTTTTGATAAAAAAAATTAGTTTTTGAAAATGTGCCATCTCAAACAAAAATGAAACAAAATCGCCATGGTAGCTCTCAGTATTGCGCAATATTTAAGTAGAAATGCTTGGAGAATACCAAAAATCCCGAAAGATTCTGAAAATACCGAAAAGTCCTGAAAAATACTTCGAAAAGTTCCAAAATAATACATAAATGTCTTGAAAACTCCGAAAAATCTCGAGAAAAGCTCGAAAACATGCGAAAATAGCCGAAATAATACCGAGTGTACCGCATTCAAACAATTACTTCAAATACAAAGTATGACCCATAACAAACAAGGAATTTACGTTCTTAAAAAAAAATCATTAATTTTAATATTTCAAAACTCGAAGAACTGGTATCAATTTGACAAATGGGAGATAGTCCGATATAAATAGTTTGCTCTTGGTTAAAAACTAACCAATTTCAGCGGGTTTTGCTAAATTAAAACAAGTTTTTTAAAATCATATCGTAATTCATAGAAGAATTAACTCCTAGGTTAGGTGGAAGCTCCAGAAAATCACCAACAGAATACACAAATGCAGAAAACTACTTTCGTTCCCTAATTTATCAAATATACACCAGTCAACAAAGTAGACCCTAGTTGTCCCAAAAGATTCCGAAAAGTCCCGAAAATCGATAAATCTCGATAAAAACTCGAAGTTTTTTGAAAAGTTCGAAAATCCCTATACAATCCCGAAAATAACAAAAAATTCCTCATTAAGTAATGATGCATTTTGTTTTCAAATACAAAAAGATTTAGATGCATACGTCCGGCGCTGATAAAAAAAAAACAGACAGTGAAGTTCTTTAAAAAAAAATAATAATAGTTTTCAAGTTTCATAACCCGAAAAGCTGGTATTAATTTAACAAATGTGAACTAATCCGATAGAATTCGTTTTCTTTAATTAAAAAATTAACCAATTTTGTAAGAAGAATGACCCCCTAATTTCCACATCAGGCGCAAACCCTAGAAATTTAAAAACAAAATGCAAAAGTGGAGAAAGCTAATCTCGTTCTCGAATCAACCAACAAGTAACCAGTTGTCTTAAGATCTACTCGATTGCTCTATAGGGCAATAATGACAATTCTGTTAAAGTATCAGCAAAAATGTTTCTGTCGTAGCCGAAAAGCCGTCAACAACTCAGCACTAACTCCGACATTTGCTGCTTTTTTGTCTTTCTTTTTGTATTCGTTTTTTTTTTTTGCAGTTGTTGGCTTTCCACTGCTGCTGTCATTGTCATCGCCTCTGCTACTCATCATTGCGGTAGTTTGATTTATTTCAATTGAATCTTTTCATATTGCTTCCCTTTTATTGGCAAATTTCTACGAAAAGTCAAATTTCCGTTTCGTATTTCATGCATTCACAACCGCACATACACAAACACACACATATGTGTGCAGTTGTGCCACGCTGAAGCACTTAAGCTTCTAGATTTCCAGATAAATACATGATGAAGCAAAGATTGAAAATACCGCAATATGTGTTGTTCCTTTTAATCATGCGATTTTAATATTGGTTAGATTAATTTTATACACTTAAATGTTTATGTAAAAAAATGCAGTGAAAACTAAGCTTTCTTACTTCATGTTGGAATAACTATGTATTTCAAATTTTACTTTCCTATTGCATTTTTAGCGATTCCTCTAAAATTTTTTACATAAATTTTAAGTTCACCCTTTCGATTTGAATTGTTTTATATCCGAATCCACTATTTGCTTCTAGATACTATGTATGGTTATATTTATTCACAATTTTCCTCTCTATTCTCCTCTTTGTTCACTCACTCTGCTGCCCAACTCATCGTTCGCTGCCTCATATTACACCAACACCACAGCGCCGATGGAAATTTCGAAGTGACGTTAGCCACAAAGGCCACTCTCAACTATACGGGCCGCGTCGACTGGCGGCCACCGGCGATTTATAAGAGCTCCTGCGAAATCGATGTCGAGTACTTCCCATTCGACGAACAGACGTGTGTGATGAAATTCGGCAGTTGGACATATGATGGTTTTCAGGTGAGTTTGTACTACTAATTGAAATTTTAGCCACGAGTGCAATTGGATTTACTTACTGTACTTTTAATTTTATTTTTTATTTTTTATTTTTTATTTTTTGCTGATACAAATTTTGTACAGCATAGGTATGTATATAGTACTACATATGTATGTACATACACTCAATTGTGTAACTTGAATTTTATAGCTTACACAAACCAAATCTACATATGTATGTAAGTACATATATTAAGGTGGCGCTAAAAATTCAGTCCACACAAATTTCAAAACTAAAAAAATGGGTTTGAAAAAATTCAAAATTATTTGATAGCAAAGATTCTAAAAAATGTTACTCCCAGCATTAACTCGGCGAGTTATAAAAGGTCAAGTGTTTTTCGAATTGTTGTAATTTTTTTAAGCCCCGGTAACAGCCCCTAAGACTTTTTTTTTTGTATTTTTGAAATTTTCATGGATGTCTTTATTTTGTAAGTAGAGAAAATTATAATATAAAATTTAGGTATTAATATTTCTAAAGACAACCCTAATGTGTGTATGTACATCTATTGATGTAAATCGATTCTTTCTTTCTTTTTATATACACTTTACACGTTTTTTGCAACCTGATTCGTCTGAATTCGTCTGAGTAAGCTGAACTCAATCAATGGTTTAATTGGCTCGAACCGTTAATTGGTTTGGTTCTTGCGAATTTGGAGAAGAATATAGCAAACTTAGGAATTTATTTAGATGCAGCGAGCCAGCAGAGAAAAATATGTTCATGTATATATTTCAGTGGTAATTTTTTTTGTTTTTCGAGTTTTAATACTTCTCGATAAGTGAAGTTTTAGTAAAGGGAAATTCGCAGTACTTAGCAGTTTTTCGGAATTATTTTTTTTAAGTAAACAAGACAAACATGAATGTGTGCCATCAGAACAGATTAGATTTTACGAAAATCATCTAAAAAACAGTTCATGGCTTCTTAAAGCTCTTAGCTGCCACTTCTTTTACTTAGTGAATACTTTGAACTATTCAACCGCGATAACTATTAGACCCAGTGGGTGCTTTATTTACGGTTAAATAACAAAAAAAAAGTATTTTTTGAGTTTCTGTTGTTGTTTATTGTGGGTCACAGTGAGTTTTCGTCCAATGAGTACCGAAATGTGATTTTTTATCGATATATCGCACTTTGTGATCCGACCATAATTCAGACAGATATGAAAACGCACGACTTTGGCTTTTATAAGGACTAACTAGAACGCTCATTTTTATGACGCCAAATTCTTTCGCTCTTTTTTTATTAAATCCAGTTTTGAATTTCTGCAAATTTCAAACTAAATTCTTCCACATCTACAAAAGTCGACTTGTCCTTCGGAAACGTTTTATTACCGCAATAAGTTGAAGTTTCATTCTGCAGTATTTCTTCTGGAAAAAATTCACTGCAATTTTTGTATGGCTTATCTCATCCATAAATTTCAATCACTTATTTAAAGGGGAGCAAAATAAGTTTATGAGTAAAATAAATCCTTTGATTGTCTCTTCCATACCCAGACAATTGCCCAGTATTTCTCACCTCGCACAGCTTTCCCAAAACTAAATAGGTGCGGTGTACCACAATTTTGGGCGGCGATTTAAAGCCAATACTGCAAAATTCTCAAGCGAAGTGGCAGCGCGATTCTGCCACTCATTCGAATTCGCGTGCAATTGCAGAAAATCAGCATCAGTAACAACAGTTGGACGAGTGCGCCGACGGCAACGGCGGAATAAGTGTACACCAAGCAAAGTACTTGAGCAATGCAAGTTAAAGGCATTCACGGCTGCCAAGTATCGAAATTGGATTTTCATGTTGGAGTCAATTGAAGCGAAGAACACGATTAAGAAGGCGCAGTTACGGAGAGGTGGGGCCCCACTGCTGAAGAAAGATGTAACACTCACCCACCACTAAGCGATTGAGGTGAGTGAGCATCTTCGTATTGGCGCAGGTGGTTTAGCAGAACAACCATCGAAGGTAGCCAAATGGTGGTATGCCAAATTTTCAACCAGCTATGTCGGACGGTAGACGAGCTGCTACTTGTCCTCCCGCTTCACCCTCACTCCTCCTCAAACACCTGATGAGCTGATATGGCGTAAATTGTTATTAAAAGCATCATCAGCGGTAGCGGCGGCGCACAACTGAAATGGCACAATAACAATTGAAGCAGGAAATAAATGAAATGCTTCGGCGAGTTGGCCGCTGGCTTCCTTCTGCACTTGCGCTCTCTTCAACTCTTCAACCATTCCTTGGATTGCAACGCTGATGAAAAATCATGCAAGCGGAAGCGAAACGTAATGAAATATTTCCGGTAGTTAATATACATACATACATACATACCAAGGACAGGGTTGGTGCAGCAAGCACGTGGAGAAAATGGAATTAAATTTGAAATTTAATAATACACAACGAAAGCAACAACAACAACAACAACAACAACAACAATGTATTACACGAATATGCATGCATAAATAATAAATCACATACACACTCCCACACACATACCTACACATACATTTTGGCTCTGTTACTGTTGGCAATCGGCATCAGCTGCATTTTTTGCTGCCTGCCAAACTCAAACGGTCTGAACTTTACCGTTCCTCGTTGATTTGCATAAATTCATTGTGATATGTTACTCATACGCCATGTGCGGCAGCCACCTGCGCGCACGTAGAATGGAATATGCATTAAAGTACGCAGGTGTGACACTTCAACTTGAATGCAATCGCTTATTTTGTTTTTCTACATTGCTGGTTTAATTTATGCATTTCTGTTTATTCATTTTTATTATTTGCAATCACTACCGGTTTCATGACACTCGGCAACGAATAAATATTTACCCATTGCATTGTTACAGATTTTGCGTGCAAAAGTGCGTTACGTATTTGTTTTTTTCCGAGTTTCAGAAGTGAATAAAACCCAGTTTTAAACTTAAATTGCCAGACAATTTTTAAAATAAAAGTAAAACTTAATTCTTTTTTTTCTGGCCCTTGGGCCAATTATGAGCACGTGCGGCTCCTTTCTTAGAAAACTGTGGTTCTTTTTTATATTTTCTTTTTTTACGTTAAACTTTTTTACGTTCGGTTGGCAGTAAATGAAAACATCGATGTAGCGAATAAGCGACATATTCGTTGGGCTCTAATTCCAAGCGAAAAGGTGACAGAAGAAGCTAGGGGATGGCGAACGAAGGCATTTTTTGTTAATGTCATCACCTCAGCACCGTTAGTTCGATTTTCAAAAGTGAAGTGTCAAATTATAGAGTTTGGCCGCTGATGTCCAGTAAGGTTTTATATTTTCGAAAAGAGTTGCCGCTTATGCAATTTCATTAATAATATTGTAATACTGGTAAAGGGAAAATTTAAAGAGTTGCCTCCTTTTCGAAAATGGCAGTTTAAGTAAATGGATAAGATAAAGAAAATATTGCAATATGGGTGTCAAGCGAAAGAGATTTAAGAAGGCTTACAGTCGAAAATATTTTTGTGAAGGTTGCCATCTATTTGAAAATTTTTATTTGATTTAATTGATAAGATAAATTGAATATTGCAATATGGGTATCAAACTGAAGAAGTTTCGGAAAGTTTGCCGCCGAGAACATTTTGCAGGAGGGTTGCCACTTGTTCGAAAAATCGTATTCAATTAAATTGATAAAATAAACGAAATACTACAATACGGATATCAAATAATACAGAATACTTTTAAGGCGCAGTGAAACACGCCGGGTATTTGCTAGTTGTAAATAAAAATTACTTTTAGATTTTGAAACCAATAAGACGTGGCGAGTAGGTTTTGCCTGAAATGAATTAACTTGCAAAGCTATGAGTATTTCTTGGTCGAAATATTTATAGTAGCTTTTTTTATAAAATTGATACTCGGTACAATCTCTGTTTCTTTGCATTCAAATGGAAGTTTTTGTTTTGTTGGTCGAATTTTTTGTTATAAATCCATGGAACGTCAACGGCCTGGTACCACACTTTAAATTATAAATGTTTTTTTTTTTTTATATAAAGTGCCATTTTTTTGCAATCACACAACAATACTCTTCAATGTACCAGCTTCAAGTTATTACTTTGTCATTTGTCTGCAAAAACAAAAAAAAGAAAAAACAGTCTGCTCTGCACAGCTGCTGCTCGTCCCTTTTTCAAGCAAATTCGCACGACTTTCACGCGGCTTCATCACAGCTGTCTTGACTTGTCACATTGTAAAATACTTTCTATATCCCCTTGCACATAAAAATGTGTATTTATTTGGCATGGTTTCCCCTTCTTACTATCCTATCCTCGAATTGGTTCAAATTTACATCCAACGCCCCTTTGCCAATTTTCTGTGTCTGTCATTACATACTCGTACTATGTAATATACATATACTCACATAAACTACATGTATGTAGGTATGAATATGTGTATAAATATAAAATTTTTTACTTTCCTCTTGTTTATTAGCTGTTGCCGGTTTCCCGCCATTTGCCCACAAAAATGAAAGAGGCCATAAAAATGTGCGGTAGTAAATATTTTAGAGGCGTAAAATTTTTAACTCGCCAAATTTGCCTTTTGAAAATATCCTCTTTTTCTGTCGCAGGGAATTTATTGCTGAAGAATATTTGTATTTATTCCCGATTTACATTTCATGTCCTATTTTTAAGATATTTTGAGGATTTTACTGTTGTATTGGTTGCATAAAATAAGGAGGAAAGGACAATTTTACGCGCTTTACAATCTTTTATTAGTAAATTTTCTCATGCAAATCCGTTTCTAAAATATTTTTTGATTTTTATGCACTGTCGTAAATGGGTGGTAGACGGTACCTAAACTCAGCCCGATTTTAAACAGCTACATAGGCATTCAAAGGGTAGAAAATTTAACTTATCGGGTCACCTACATATATCGCCCTGAATTTATTCATTATAAAAAAAAATACTCATGCGGAGCTCAGCGTGTAGATGTTTCGCGCTCTTAATGTAATAAATAAAATAATATCGAAACTGTAATACAACTGAACCTTCGCCTTAATTGAGTTGAATTGAATTGAATTGCAGAAGCTGATTAGTAGAAATTCATTTCCGCCTCTTCAGGATTAATACCCGTTTTTGAAGCCATTTACTATTATAGTATTTCTACCTGCCATCATCTCAACTTCTTGGCATTGGAGTATCTTTGCAACACATTTTGATCTATTTTCTACCTCCTTTTTCACGCGTCGCTATTTGTAGTAGAGCGGTTGAAAAAAAAATAAAAACAAAGCTAAACCCTATGAATTTTTGAAGAAATTTCTGAAATTTGTTTGGAAATTTTTTTAGAGAAAAGCACTGTGCCACCTTTTCTGCCAAGCAATTGGAAAATTCTTACGAGTAACTAGATAACTCCCATCACACTTAAAGCAAGTTTCATAAAGCAATTTAAGTGCCATTTTTTGATTCAATATGAAAACAGACAGAAAAGTAAAAACACAGGTCTGCAAAAAAATGGGTTCGGAATGTTCTATAAAAGTGTAGTGTCATTTCCGAAGTAATTTTTTGCGTAGAATCCGAATCCGGGGTTTAAATTGCTCTATCACGTCAGGACTTTGAGATATCCTAACCTAAAAGTGCAAAAAACGCTGTTTTTGCCCACTTTTGGGGTTATGTAGCTACGAAGATTTTGCTCTTCATAAAAAAGTAAACGTGGTATTTTAAAGTATAAGTCTTCCTCTTTTAAATGCCGTTGAGTTTGCTCAAATATCTTAATTTTTCACTGAGATATCGCATTTTGAAGTCTCCATGTTTGTGAATGTAATCGACCGTATCACGTCTCATGTTATCTCAATGGATTTTCGAATATCGAAAAATTCACAAACATGGAAACTTCAAAATGCGTTATCTCAGTGAAAAATAAAGATATTTAAGCAAACTCAACGGCATTTAAAAGAGGAAGACTTATACTTTAAAATACCACGTTTACTTTTTTATGAAGAGTAAAATCTGCGTAGCTACATAACCTCAAAAATGGGCAAAAACAGCGTTTTTGCACTTTTAGGTTAGGATATCTCAAAATCCTGACGTGATAGAGCAATTTAAACCCCGGATTCGGATTCTACGCAAAAAATTACTTCGAAAATTACCCTACACTTTCCTAGAACAAAACGTTGTTGACCTGTGAAATCATTATTTAATTAAATTGCTGCTGAAGCTGGCAGTTAATCTTCCTCACGTTGTTTATTTAAATCCAATGAGGAGTTAATTTTAAAATCATCTTCACTGAAAAATAAATTGCTTCCAAATATTACTATTAATTGATCGAATTGGTTTCAAAAAATATACACTTTTCATTTTTTCAAAACACAGAGATATTTACCAGCTTAACCCTTTCAGCAGCAAAAAGTTACTTCAATCCTAAGGATATTGTTTGAATTTAAGCGGTTTGGTTTTTTTATGTTTTAAATTTTTCCTAGTTTTTATTCAGCTTGTTTTATAATCAAATTTTTTTGAAATTATTTTCCAAATATCAAAATTACAACGAACTTACATTAAAAAATATGTATTTTCTCTAAAATGTTATTGCCACCAAAATTAGAAAAATCTACTAAAAATTTAAAGGGAACCATTTTTTGGGTAAATATTACTTCAGGAAATTTTTTTGGGAAAAAAATAATTATTTTGGGACGAAAATAATATTTGGTATTATTATTTATTATTATTATTTTGAGAAAAAATAATGAGTAATATTTCTCTTAAAAAATAGTTTTTTTTACAAAATTTGTTTAATAGTAAAATGACAATTATTAATTTAACTTTAACAACTATAATTTAAAAGTGGTAGAAGTTACAGTATGAATACCTACCATAGATTTAGCTGACGTTCTTCTTTTATACATTGCTAAGAGCTACTCAAATCGCACCTCCCTCCTTTAGTGTTCAGAATTTGTACTTATTCAGCTTTTTCAAAATATTTTCGTTTCTCTTCTTTATCCATTAACTTTAGTTAAACACGTTTCTGTAAGCAACTCATCCGCACTTGACTTCCGTAATCGTGTTTGGCCAACAGCATTTCCTGGTACTAATGCGTTCTAGAATTACACAAGCGGAGCAAAAGTTCAGCGCAAAGACATTTCAAAAAAATAGAAGTGAAACGAGGAAAAGCTTGGTGCAATGGAAATGAGATAAATATTAGTAAAATACATAGGTTAAGCACGCAGTGCAAATACAAAAAAACATTCACTAATATGTACTGCTGCGTTTACGAGTTTTAAGCGCCTAGATATACATGGCGTATGAGTAATTTAGAAAATAATTATAATTTTGTATCAAATTTAACATGTGGCAGTAGTTAACTTTTTAATTTGTTTTAAGAATCTATACCAAAGTTTGAAATATCAAACTTATAGTCTAGGGCCGTGTTTGTTAAAAAAAAGTCTAGTTCAAACAAAAAATAACGTTACCTTCTAAGGCAGGCATTACTTTCACCGCTGTAAGTTGAACTGGAATAAATGAAATTATGTATTGTCCACCAGTTCAATTTTTTACAAAAATTACTTGTTTACTCATTAAACCAAATGGCATGCATATGTTCTGTAGAGCTACTTCATTTCAATGAAAAATTTTATGTATATAAATATTTGTTTATCATTTTTCATTTTAAACTTGTTTTATATTCACTCTTTTTTCTTTATTTACTTCGCAGGTGGATCTTCGGCATATCGACGAACTCAACGGCACAAATGTTGTAGAAGTTGGTGTGGACTTATCAGAATTTTACACATCAGTCGAATGGGATATATTAGAAGTTCCTGCAGTGCGGTAAGTTTTCCCCTTACATATTTGTTATTTTATCTATTCATAAAATATTAAAATTTTCGGGGAAACTATCTTTATAAGTAAATCTTATATCTAAGCAAACATTTATTTTAAGCTCAAAAATAACTACACCAGCTAAACGATATTTTCTTTAATAATTTCAAATTTTAAATGACTTCATAAAATTCACTTTATGTAGTTTGTCATCTACCACTTCTTATCGGCAGCTAAAAACCAAAGTAAATTCGCTTAGCACTCTGAGTCGAGCGTAACTAAAACAAAAGCTGCTCTTCTAACTAATGTAGCTACTGTTAGAAACGTAGTGAATATCTCACTCAGCAATGGCTGGGAGAATGCCATAGCCAGGTGGTGTTAGGAGCGTCCTACTACTTGATGGGCCCAGATTCGATTACTAGTTTGACAAATATCCACATTTTTTTCTACAGCGCGTGCGCCGCAATCACAAAACACATAGCGTATTCCTGCATACATATAAGCGTCATCCGCTTTTCGGAGGCGACGCGACAATGCTGATTTCTTTGAGTTTACAGCTGCAACAACTAGGGTTGTACGTGGATCCCATTCTAGCCGTATGTTCACCGGGAGAACAGTGTCTCGTGATCGTGGCTGTTAATCGGACGATTTTTTTTTTAGCTCTTTAGAAGGTTTTACGTTTTTGATTTTTACTATTGGGGATAAGTATTCCTTTTGTGTTATAGGTTTTAGGATGTGATTCGTGAGAGTTGCTACTACGGGCAGACAGTTTGTTGGCTCGGCTTCCAACTCTGATCCAGACTTAGCAAATTTGACAGGCCTCTTGTTATTCTTAGAGCCGGGTACTAAGACGAGTGACACATCCATTGTTTCGGTGTAATCCGTGACTAATTGCAGCTTTTTTGATTGAAGATGCCATTGCCGAACATGCTTGGTTATCTGTGGAAATGTATGCTAATTGTACTTACTCCTAGTTACACTGTTTGTTTTTTAATAGCCTTCAGGTGCCCCTAGCACTTCCGCTTAGAAGTTCGAAACGAGAGAGGTCGTAAATAATTTCAAAAAATTATCCCAATCCCGCAACGCAGTTCATCTTAGGCCAATCAGTTTAGAATCCAGCAGAATTCTCCTCGATTATCTTGCCTCTACTCAAACTCCATCTATTTGGAAGTGAAAATCACCTGAAATTAAATATGCTAAAATAGTTTTGTTGCCGAATATAGGCGATTTTTTCCTGTAAGGCATATATAATTAATAATATGATTTTTAGTAATTTATAACTTAATCCAACGCTACACAGTGTGGAAAATGGATTCCTTGACCCAAGAATGGCGAAAATATATCTTAAAACATTTTTTTAAAGTTCATTACATCCTGTTTTCAGGTAAAATTAAAATTTAAAACTTTTTTTCGGAAGATCCTAGGTATTCTTTTTATTTATGGAGACAAAAAAAGGTGAATTTTAAACACTGTGCACCTTGCAAACCTTCCCCTGTTAACAAGCCAATGTTTTTTTTATTACTAAGAAGAAGATAAGTATCCCAATGGGTAATATTTCAAATTATTCAAAATGAGGTGCTTATAAATTAGGAACAATTTACTACATACATACATACATAGAAAAGTTAAAGCCAAAGTAGATGATTCGTGGCTGCGCTCGTCTCCTTTTTCCTTAAAATTTGTATTCACTAGCGAAGTAGTTGATTATAGTGCTATTTATGAAGGTGTCCTTAAATATTGAAGTGACAAGAATTAACATTTTTTATTGCAACTACATATGCTCTTCTGTGTTTTTCCAAATGATTATCTCTGTACATTAGACTGCATCACTCCCCATACAAAAAAAAAAAGAATCGGTACTGTGTGTCCATTGGAATCTATTTCGGAAAAATATTAGGATTCACATGACCTGGGCCGATTTGAAAATACCTGTAAAAATGGAGTTTTGTATGAATAAAAATAGTTTCGTAAATTTTTTTTTTTGTTTTTTTTTTTAAATCCCCTCACACGACAAAACGGTTTAGCTTAAAAAATTTGATTAAAAATATTTTTAAAAATTTGTTTAAAGTGTTTAACGGAATCATAATGTTGAGATTTTTGATGCTGTTTTTTAACTTTCTTTGAAGATTGATATAAGAAAAACTTCAATAACTGAACCTAAACTACTCCGATATAGACTTGTGAGGTATTATTGGAAAGGTATTTTCTCTTTTTACTTCTTTGCTAATAAACTCATTCAAAGGATGAAAGAGAAAGGTAGGATGAACGAACATCATTCAAAGTTGAATTAAGATGTGTTGGTATTTGACAAAAATGGGGCACGAATGATTTTTTTTGGAGAAAAATAAAAATAGTGGATACCTTCCTACTGAGATTCCATAAGTCTAAATCAGAATAGTTTTGGTCCCGTTATTCAGTTTTTCGTAAATTAATCTAAGATTTTTAAATATTTTTATGCACATTTTTTAAGCTTAATCTGTTTTGTCATCTGAGGGGACTTTCTTTAAGAAACTATTTGTATTCATAAAAAACTTCCTTTTTGGAGGGATTTTCAAATCGGTCCAGGTCACGTAAATCTTAATATTTTTCTGAAATATTTTGGTGGACGTCTTATTTAAAATATAATAAATTGTGTAATCCCGGCGGAAAACCGCATCTTTTTTGGTGATGCAGTCTAATGTACATACATATGTATATGTTTGACATTGCTCTCTTCTGCTAACGAAGATGTGTATATGCATATTGAGTTGGCAGCATAAATTTGACAATGCAAATTGCCATTTGCCTCGTAACAAGACATCCCTGGGCAGTTTATGTACGACATATGTTTTATCCCCTAACGCATGAATACATGCATTTTCGTAGTATAAATATATGTATGTACGTGCATAACTACATAGGAAATATTAAGACAGTTTGTCTTCGTCACAATTACACTCAAGGGAAACACGTGGACAGTCGACATGGCAATAAACTAAGGCCTGTAAAAAGCAGGCGTCCTTTTATTAAGTGACTATAGGCATTGTGCGCCCAAAACATGGCTACAACGATGATTGTGACACAATGTCACGTGCTGCTTTGCCATCAAGCAAAAAACGTGCGTATAAAGATTGTGTATGAAGGCGAATAAGAAAAAAGTAAAAGGAAAAAAAAACAGTTTCTTACAGGAAAAAATATTAATGTGTCAGTAGACAAACACTGATACATAACTGCAAACATACTTATTTCCCAAAAGATTATAAAGCTATAGACCTTGCCTCATGAAAAAAAAAACTCAATAAAGGTATGCCTTCATGTGTCACAAAAGCCATTGCCAACTATGAGTAAACGAAAATAGTAGCTGCTACGAGTACCAAGAAAACTATGCACTTTTCATAACCATCAAAATTTCAGTTAACAACTCAACTCAGCTCCCCTTTTTGCAACGCCTTTTAACTTTTGGTCTTTGTTTGTTTTTTTTTATTTTTTCTTCTTTTTTTTACTTTGTCTTTTCTAACTTTTGTCTTTACTGCACGCTCCATTTTCCTAACTGCCATGATGCCAGAAGCGACGTAAAGAACTACTATTAAAAAGGCGAATATAAAAAGGTTGCTTGCAAAGAGCCTTTGGCGTGACAAAAGCCAACAAGCACTCACGCATTTGCGAGAGTATGTATGCAAGTATGTAGCAGCTAAGGTGTCAGCTGCTCTCTTTGTTGTTTGAACTACTGCAGTGGCATTTTTGAGGCGTTTGTGAAGGCTTTTGTTTGTGCGGCGTGCATGCTTTTCTATGCGTTGCTCACATGTGTTGCACTATTTTTTTCTGTTCCACCTTTTTTTAGGTTCGTAGTTTCATATTTGTTTTAAGCTGATGTGCATACGTCTATATTCTAGAAGCATGCTATTTATATGTATATGAACTTGCCATGATAAAAAATTATGTCGCTAAACATGGAACATTTGTAAATAAAGACATTTGCTTCTAAATTGATACATTAAATAAACAAAGGACGAGATTTGTTGCATTTTTTTTTGTATAAGTATAAGATAAAGAGTGCCGCAAGTCAGTCATTACCAAACAGTACAAAGACCTTTGTGGGTTGACGAGGTTTGCTGAATGACATTGCTGCGCCTGTTGCTATATATGTACTAAAAATATTACTTTACGCTACGTATGTACATTAGACCGCATCACCAAACAAAGTTGCGGGGGTTCCGCCGGGATTACAAAATCTATTATATTTGAAGCCGTTCGCCACAATATTTCGGAAAAATAATAAGATCTACGTGAGCTGGACCGATTTGAAAATACCTGCAAAAATGGAGTTTTTTTATAAATAAAAACAGTTTCTAAAGAACTATTTGAAAAAAAATCCCCTCAGATGAGAAAATAGATTAAGCTTAAAAAATCTGCATAAAAATATTTTTAACGGAATCATCATAATAAGATTTTTTATGCTGTTTTTTGACTTTTTTCAAAGATTTATTTACTCCATTTTCGGAGGTATTTTCAAATCGGCCCAGCTCACGTGAATCTTATAATTTTTCCGAAATATTTTGGTGGAAGTCTTAAAATATAATAGATTTTATAATTCCAGTAAAAACACAGTACCATTTTTTTTTTTTTTTTTGTATGGGAAGTGATGCAGTCTAATGTATATAGAATATATTTCGAAACTACTAAGGTGTCAAACATTTCACCGACTTCAACAAAAAAAAATACTCAAATCAAAAATATACTGAAAAAATTATCAAAAGTTACCGAAAAAGAGTAAACAATAAAATATGGCTTTATGGCAAGAGTTCAGTTTTCACTCAGTCGATATTATTTCCTGACCTGCAGATTCTCCAGACAGAGATCCGCACCAAGCTCTTTTTCCATATTTCTTTTTCCATCATTCGTTACACTAGCGCTTTCATTCTTCCCTAGCTGAAAATCGTAACAGAATTCCTAAAGTGGAAGTCGCAGAGTTAAGTAATGTGATCAGTACCGTCTAAAAGACACTGCACTGGTCAGTGAGTCGGAGTTTTAATC